AGAAGTGACAGAAACTCCTTAAACGTATCATTAACACATCTAGAGATGGCCATACTTATAATATAGAATGTGTACAATATTTGAACAGATAAAACAATAAGCAATTTCTTCACACATACTACTTCAGCACTTAAGAAAATTCTTCCACATGGTCTCTAGAACAACTATCCATTACGAAACTTCAGAAACCAATATAATTAAACCTTAAAGTACGTTTTCTAACAAACAACTTTATAGTCATTCTAAAACATATTTTAGACGATGCGCTACACATAAGATTCACAACATAAAGTAAACAGAGTGAGGTTGGATTTACCTTCCACGGTGCAGTGAACTAGAACTTTGAGATTTCAGATCTACTCCCTCCACGTAGCAAGATCGACACTCTATTTTAGCGAACTAAATAGGACTTAGATTACAGAAAGGAAGAGAGTTATTTGTTGACTCGATTTTGCCGTGTTCTCACTATTTTTCAGGATTTCAAAGATCATCTTTCGGCGGGAGAGTTGAGGAGTATTTATAGGAGAAAACTAGGGTTTTAGAAGTGGGGATTGAAAGATCCGTTTGAAATTCAAAATACCCATCAAAATGTGTCAGAAAGAAGATCAACAAAGTCTTCCTCTTACTTCAGAGTTACAACGATTTGGTATACCAAAGTTTTTGGCTTTTCATTTAACTAGTATAGTACCCGTGCGATGCGCGGAAAATACGAAGAAAAAAATATAATAAATTATTAACTTAGTTGCTTAACCATCTCATATTTTTATAACTTGATCAATCGTAAAATTTAAACCATTTGATCGATTCCTCATTAATTTTTGATTGGAAAAGAGGCAAAACAATTGTAAAGTATTACTATACATAAGAATTACATATAATCAAGCAAAGAGCGTAAAGTAATGTGTGTATTCATGTTTTTCCTCTTTTAAGACATTGGATATGTCATTAAAGTTGCATTATTTGAAGGAATAAGTTTGCGTTATTCCATTATGTAATTTATCTTATCTAATGCTCTTAAGAAAAAAAATAATAATTAAATGACAGGTAATGTTGCAAATCAATAAAAAACTTTCATTAATTAAATAAATTACAGGTAGTCGTAGAGACGGTTCTCCCACTCTGCTTCAAATTTAAGGACATAAACCCAAAAAGGTCCACTTGGCCACACCTCGTGATAAATATCAGTTAAAATACTACCTAAAGGTTGTCCAAGTGAATCTACTAAAATTGATAATGCTTCCCAATCATATAGTATAATTTTGTCTATAGCATCTATTAGTGCATCTCTCATAAGCTGATAATTTGCAATATGTAGATCTAGTGCAGGCCTAAGCTCTCTAAATTTCTTTTCTTTTTCCCTTCGTTCAGCCCTTCGATCTCTTAACTTATTTTGTATAGCCCTTGGGACATTCCTGATAATTTCAGGCTTTGAGTCTGAAGCATTATAGGAATAAATGTTGCGACG